GCAGGAATTTGCAAAGAAAATTTCTTCCAACAATTGCACTTTTAAGGAATATTTCAGATTTCGTATTGCTGTCAGCAATCTTAGTGATACCGTCAAGGGGCTCAGGTGATTGGAGATATCGGAAAAGTTCAAGACAAAGGTTTAGCTCAAAAGCTAAATTCCCAGACTTGTAAACATAATCATCTTCCTACAATTAATTGCACATAATAATCAAATTAGACTTTGGAATAGTCAGTTTTCAAATGACTTTAAGATGAAGCCATATAGACAGGGCATGTTGCTGTAGTGAAGGTTAGCAGCAACCTTCACTTGAGATGTTTAGGTGAAACGGAATTCCTTGTGAAAGATTATCTTTGGGCCTTACTTTTCTCCTCCAGTCCTGTAGGAAGACTAGAAGGTCTCTATGTTCCAGGCTACTTCAGTGCATGAGTTGTACCAATGTGCCTTTGTTTTCTGATGGGTTCATGCAATAAACCTTTTATTCAGCTTGAATATTTTAAGTACAACACTGAAGGCTATCAGCCACAAGTAGGGAAGAGGAAATTAAAAAAGCAGAGAAACAGAAGAGGAGAAGAACTTCTGCAACACCCGCTTAGAAAAATGAGGAAGTCAAAGGATTTTAACTAGTTTTAAGGTTATACTGATCACAATGGGGATTTTACTTACATACATGAAGTAAGCTGAAGATGTGCAAACCCAACTGCACAACATACAATGTATATTAAAGTGTATGGGGACCTTGAGACCACAAGAATGCTGGTGAAGTTATCTGTCATTGTAGAAGTTATCTGTCTTTCTAGACACAACAGAATTTTAACATGCTATTGCTGATCTGAAACAGTCTAAATAGGAACTAACACTTAGTACTTTTATGTTCATGTGTTTACAAGTGACAAACTGAAATGCCTTGGATTCCTATCAGTGTACAAATGAGGTATTTTTCAACTCCAATTTTGGGGGGGAATGACTTTCCACACTCATTTGTTGAAAAGGAACACCCAAGTGTTCTCCAGAACACCTCTGAAGCTGAATTTGGGATTTATAAATCAGGGCAGGGATTGGTGGCTCAGTGGTTGTTTCATATTTGTGACTGCTTTAATTTGGAAAACATTCCAAGATATCTAAGAATCTCATCTGATCTGTATAGCTACAGAAGCTTCAGTGCATGAGCATTGATGATGTTGGTGTGTTTTTGAAGAGCTTCTATGACAACTCCTTATGTTCATTATTTTTAACACCACATACAAATTTCTACATTTATAATCTGTTTGTAATTAAGAATTGGAGAACTTAAAGGCTAAGAACTATTAAGAACTTAACTTTCCAAACCATGAAGTGCCCTGACTTCAGTACCTCTAAACCACAAATGAGAAGTCCCTTCCTGTAGTGAGCTACTTTTGTAGCCTTTTTACTTTGAGCCTTTGAGTCTGTTTGTTTGCACCACATCTGGCACCCCAAGTTTTTAGGCTTCCCTGGGACTCAGGGCATTGGTACAGGACAGACAGCAATGGCACTGGATGTCATGTCATGATTTCCTTCCTCCCACAAGCTCTGATAGACCTGGTGGTTTAAAACAAAAGGGGGAAAAAAAAAAAAGAAATAAAAAGCTTGCCCTGAACTTGAAGTGCCTTTCTGTTAGGGTCCTAATAAACACAGTGTAATTTAAAATTTGTAACGGTTTTCTCTTAAAAAATGCAGTGCAACTTCCAGGCCGCAATTAAATGATATAAATCCTTTCTCTAATGTATGTATGTAGCTTACCTAACTCACGTCATAGTTTTTAGCACTAGTTTTCCCTAGAACAGCCCTAGGAGAAAGGAAAGCATTATTTTGTATTCCCATGTTGGGCGAAGAGCTGAGAGTTGCCAGCCTGGCTGAGGCTCAAGTAAGAGCATTCACCCAGGCAGGAGCTCCGGCTGCATCTTTGAAATGCGGGTGGGTCCCCCCAGCTCCTGGCCCAGCTTTCCTCCCGTCAGCGTATAAAGGCGAAGCAGCATCTCCATCCAGGAGGCCGTGGGGTTTTGGCCTGAGCGCTCTGCACACTTCATGCAACCTGAGCTCGCTGGCTCATACCTCGGGCTGAAGTGGAGCGGCAGAGGTGCAGAGCACATTCCTTTCTGCTAGCATGAGTATTGAGAAAGCCAGTTTCGTAACACAGCAGCCAGGGCAGCCAGAGCTTGGCTCCAAGTGATTTTTTTTTTTAAATAGAAATTAAAACCCAATATCTGGGACTATATAGAGAGGTTATGGGCATGAATAGTGAATCATAAGCTTGTTCTTTTAATTACTGTTGTTTACTTAGAACCTATTCATGTCTTGAAAAGCCTCAGAGGACCAAATGAAATTGTGACACATCGATTTCAGCCTATGGAAACATATTTAGAGGAAGATGGAAAAAGCACCATTTAAAAGGAAAAGAAAGGAATATAACTACAACTGTTTCTTTCAGGTAGAAACTGAAAGCAATCTTAAACATACCAGGTGCAGAGCACAGTACAGTAGCCATGAATGACATTGCACAGAAAACTGAGGTATGTACCAATTTTAAAGTAATCAAAGTAATGTAGTAATTTACAACTGATGCTTGTAAAAAGAGTAATTACAAACAATTGTAAAAGACAAACAATGATACTGGAAGTCTGATGATATTGCTGTTATTTTAAGACAATGGAAGGGCTCTTGAAAGTAGCTTAAGGAAACTATCTGACTTGATGGAATCTGTGAATTATGTTCTTACTATTATTAGAAACAAAACAAAACAAAACCAAACCAGGGAAAAAGGCAAAATAAAGGTAACAAAATATGAACAAACTTGAAATGTTGGGGGGGAATTCAGGGCAACATTCATATCTAAATCTAAAATGTAAATATTAGGCTACTTCAAATATTTATTCTTCTTCTATATAGACTCACTGAACAACAGGAACAAAAGCAGGAATAAAAACTTGGTTTAGGTAGAAAATATGAAACGTGGAATGTTTTCAGCCAGTTTTCTCAGCATTACTATATTGAGAGCATTCCTGTAGTCATTACAGTAAAAAGAGAGAAAACTTCACAGTAGTTCTGAAAAGCAGGAACTTCTCTTACAGTTTGGACACACACAGAGTAAGCATTGGCAAAGAAGTGTCCAGCAGCTGTATCAATATCTGAGTCCTGCAAGTCCAGTAATCTTGACACTTTCTAACATAAAATCACTGGACTTCTTAGTTTCTCTGAATATTAAAAAACTAAGTATATAATGTATTGGAAGTTTTAAATGAACAAATAACACTCTATTTAAAAACCGTATATGGCTGTTGAAGTGTTGCAGAAGAAAACATACACATTAGATGTCTGTGCCTTTATATCTCTTTTAAATGCTAGGGGTAGAGAGGATCTCTGGTGACTGCTTATGATTCAAAGCAACAATATCAATCTGTATCTAATTTTTAAAGCCATAGTAACTGAACATTTCCATTCACATAGTTCGTATACTTTGTTATGTAGCTATTGGTTACAATTACTTATAGTCTAAGTTTAAAACAATGCTAAATGTTATTTTGGATATTTTAGTATTTATTACTACTTATGAACAAATACAGTGATGTTTAATAGATGACAGCTAGCGGCACACAGTTCATAATCCCAAATGCACTTCTGTTTTTTGTTCTTATGTTCTTTCTAATCCAGTCTATCAGAATATTTTTGTCCATCTGTTTCAACTTTCTTTTTCTTATCTTCATTTCTTCTATATCTTCACCAAGATTCTGCTTTCTTCATCTAAACCCGTCCAAAAATCCTATGTGCCCAAGCTTCACAAGGGTGATGTAAAGGATAAATTTGAAGCTATGCAGAAAGCAAGGGAAGAAAGAAATCAAAGGAGATCTAGAGATGAAAAGCAAAGAAGAAAAGAACAATATGTTAGAGAGAGAGAATGGAACAGGAGAAAGCAGGAGGTTATTTTCTTTGCAAATATTTTGTGTTATTTTAATATTCAATATTATACGTTAAAATCTTTACACATTATTTTAAGCCAGTAATACTGGAACTTTATTTGAGGTATGAAGACAGTTTACTTTCTGTGTTTCATCAACTAGATGAAAGAACTGCTTGGATCTGATGAAGATGACGACACAAAATCATCTAAAATAGAAAAAGGTTATGTTCCAAAGCTAATAGGTAAGAGAGGCTTGATTTTAAAGGCCACATAATTCACTGGGTAGGTATTAGATGTAACTACTGAACTGTGTATTTCACATTCACAGGAACTGTTAAAGGCAAGTTTGCAGAAATGGAGAAGCAAAGGCAAGAAGAAGAAAGAAAAAGAACGGAAGAAGAAAGAAAGCGCAGAATTGAACAAGATATGATTGAGAAAAGAAAAATTGAAAAAGAATTAGCAAAAAAAGCACAGGAGGTATGTTCATCTGATCACAATAGTCAGCATAAAGTTGTAAACAACCAACAAAAGAAAAAAAAGTTTTGTCTTGATCAGAAAGATTTTATCTTAAGATTTCTGATAGTGGTGATGTACATGGGAGATGCTCAATGGGATGGAAGTGGGGAATAATGTTCAGAGAATCTTCATCTTCACTTCTTTATGGTAATAATTGTTTTAAGCACTAAACTTGAGTTACAGATGAAACCAGGCAGGTATAAACCTGGTAGGAATGTGAATAAGGCATAAATTTTGGTGTCAAATGCATACAAGAGTTTACAGAATTTAGTAAACTAATTTTAAAATATTTCTTATATTTTACCAACCTTGTCTTTAGACAATTTTTGCTAATACATTAATGATACAGTTCAGTGATAGATGAACTAAGACAAGCAGAAAGAAACAGGAAAATGCCATCAGCAGGCAAAAATGAGACGATAATAACACAGTAAAAATCCTAGATCATGTTTTATTCCTTTGCCACTTTGTGAATCTTTATTGCATATATATGTGAACAGACTCCAACTTTTGTCGATACCAATAAGGCAAATTTTGTCTTTTGCAGAATTCTGCATTCGAGTATCACATTTAATTCCTTTTGTAAGTTTTCCTCAGTGCTGCAAATACTGCAGTAAGAGTGAACATTTAAATGATAGACTAGGTCCATAAGTGAATTTTTATTTAAGCAAAGTATAGTACTTCATTTAGTTTGTTTTTGTTGTAAGAAAATAAAAACAGGGCTACAGGAGGAGTCAGTTTTCAACAAAAAGTTGGATGGTATTTTCTACTAAGACTTTTAACATTGTTAAAACGAGACTTTTAACTGGAAACGTATTGAGTATGTCTCTAATCTACTCTGAAAGGCAGAGGTACATAGCATGTAGAATTTTAGAATGTATGTTAAATTTTAGACAGTAACATATAAAGACTCCATATGAAGCAAATACAGCAACAGGCTTTTTGCAGGAGTTGAGGGGAAGACCATGTCACTTGCATCAGAAATAATGTTTAATTCTAGAGTGCTTAAATGAAGAATGGACATCTAAAGTACTCTCCTCAGTTCATCACTGAAGAGTTAAGAATGCTTTAGCATACTTTCTGTATGATGTTTTCTGTCATGTTCCCTCTTCCTCAACAAGCTAACCCATCTGAAGTATTCCAACAAAGGTTCAATCATTACCGTCTCTGTGATTTGTCCTACATACGTATCACTGATACAAAAAGAATTTCCAGTTCTGTGTTTGCAAATCTAAGGCAAAGAGCCAAAGTAATGTAATCATATGAAATTCTCATTTAATAGATTGATGACTTTAACAATACGGGAACTGAATCAGCAGCAGAGGTAATCAGATTTTTTTAAAGAAATGTTCACCTACATTTTTGTTCACTTTGTTTTGTTATTGTCATTTGGGATGGGAAAACTTAGAAAAGGGCACACAAATACCTAATTAAAATTCAACCAAGAAGCTAACAAATTTTTAAAGTATACAGAACTACATCTCTGTACTTGAAGTTAATTTATTTAAGTTTGAAATAGAACCTACACTGAATACTTTGTCTAAAATGTAAATATTCAAAGCCACCAGAATGATTTGAGGTATACTGGCAATGATACTCTAAGTCCTTCTGCTTTGGAAAGCATGATTGTAAAAGCTCTTTGCCTTAAACTTGAAGTTAAAAGAAAGGGGATTCTGTCAATACACACATGTTTGAATACCTCAGTTAACTTTTTTTTTCTTTAATTGACTAATTTACCATATGGGCTTGGATTTTAAGTCTTGCAAATAAATGTTTAATTTCAAAAAGCTTCATCCAAAGGTCCTACTGTCTTTCACTAACACAAAAAAATCACATTCCTACTACAGTTTTGGAAAGACAAACAAACAAAACCCCATTAGTTTTAAGCTATTTGACAGAATCCCTGTTAATCACAGTATTTTGTGAAAAAACCTGTGTAAAATGTACTTTGACAAATAAGTTGAGAAAATAGTTTTGAAGCAGCAACATCCTTCAAAAAGATTACTCTGATGAATTACATATTGCTCTCTAGAACTATTAGTTTATTCCAACTGCAGTATATCCTTTACTTAGTAAATATAAGACTGGAACTAGAGTGTGGCTACAATTACTATGTATTCAAAATTTCACCTGTTCTTCTCCAAACAACGAATATTTTCATTAGCTCTTAGCTATATACGTAAAGAAAATTAAGGAGTTTGACAACAGTTATGTTTAAAATATAATTCAGCCTTGATGCTCTTTAGATACTACAAGAAAACTAGTGACTGCCTCAGGCAGATGTGTTTATTCTTGTTGTTAATACAAGTAATTCTTTTGAAAGTTCTTTCGGTGCGCAAAGGTAAAACCAGCAGTTTCATTAAGAAATGAGTCTATCTAGAAGTCAAGCTTTATAGAAATATAATAAATATCTTTTTGGACAGGAAGGGGATGATTCACTGCTAGTTACAGTTGTGCCTGTAAAAGCCACCAAAACTCCTGGGAAGATGAAAATAAACTTTGAGAACACAACAAAGGAGAGAGCAGAACAAAGAGAGAGACAGGATGAAGAAATGAAGCTAAAATATCAGGAACAAAAACAATTCCTTAAGGAAACCAAGTGCCTTTCATTTGTCATGGTAAACCACTCATCTAAAAATACCTAAGAATTAGGTATCTGTTATTTAAGATATAACTATTTCATTTTTCTTACACAGAGAGAAAATGAAGACAGTGAAACACAAGAGCCTCTGTCTCCTGGAAAGCTGAAAGTAACATTTGAAGAACTCGAAAGACAAAGACAGGAAAATCAAAGGCGGCAAGCAGAGGAAGAAGCAAGACAGCGTTTAGAAGAAGAAAAACGGGCCTTTGAAGAAGCTAGACAGAGAATGGTAAATACATGTTTTGCTCATGTTGTTACAGAATTTTCACATAGGATGTGCTTTTATGTTCTTTCCTGTATCTGATTCTTCTTTTTCCTTATTCTTTAACTATATTTCAAACTGTTAAGAGTCCGAAAATTGTATCACTATTAATTTTGGAATGATGTATTTTTTACCTTAGTTCTAACACAGTAACCCCACTGGCATAATGCTTTAGACACACTTCTAGTAAAAACAGGAAATTAATGTGTTTTACATTTGCCAGCAATCTTAGCAGGTTTTATATTTACACTTTGTAGTACCTTAAGCCAAGTCCTCAAGAAGATAATTAGTTGTCTGTTTTGTTTTTAAATAGTGCTTCACGTGTTTCAATAACCAGTTTTTGATGAAAACATTCTGTAGCAACAGAATGCTATTTCTTATTCCTATAGTTATTTATAAACATGAGAGGATAAATACATCAATTACAACTTTCCTCTTCTAAAGACAGGTCAGCTCTCTTGTATGCATTGACATAAACAATATACTAGAAATCACTAGATTAAGCCTAAATTGTCAGAAATGTAGCACACAATTCCTGCTCTGTATTACTTGCAAAACTGCCTTCCATATGTGTTCTTTATCATAAGCCAGACTTATTCTAGATCAACTATAAACAGACCTCACTCTAGTTTGTTCTGTGATCATACTAAAAGAATTGTACACTTAGTATTAACAGAAGACATACCAGATAGTTCAGTTCTGTATTTCTTTACTACGTTTCCAAAAGCATTTTTTAAGTTCTGTATTTGATTATCTTTCCCCTGTACAATCATGATCATTATGACTGTTAATTCACATACAAAAAAGATTAATAAGAAATGAGAATTTAATCTTTAATGAAATCTTTGAAAATATTACGTCTAGGAACTTGCTAAGTTTAACTTAAAAAGAGTATCATTATGAATGGACATGCTTGGAGAAACAGCTCAAGGTCACTATGTTGACTATATTTCAAAAACATTCAAGAAATATATATTCTCCAAGAACAAAAACAAAACACAACAAAACAAAAACAAAACCAACACAGAATCCCCAGAAAGCTGAAACACTGAAATATCCAACTGGTCCAAACTGAGAGGGCTCTAGCTTTAGGCAGATATCCAATTTGTAATTTACTTCTCCATCCCCACCTCCAATAAAGCACTTAATCTTTCTGCTCCAATAATTTTGACATTATGTCAATAAGACATTTTTTTCTTTTTATTTGGGGGTGGGCAGGGGATACTAGTGAAGGAGAAGAGGGAAGACAATGAAGGAGAGAGAACTTCATGAATTCACTAGCCATTCTAACTGAAGTTTTGTTCACATCTCCCACCCTTAGGTATAGGCATTTATTAACCCAAGTAATATAAAGTCATTTGCAAATTCTCTATTTCAAAACAATTTTTCTAACACGCAGTTTTATCTGATATCAGTGGATGTCAAAATTTTAAGTAAAAAATTTTCTTAAAGGAAGAATTCAGCAGTTAATTTCCTTCAATTGTTTCTTTTTTCCCCTGTGAATTCCACATAAAAGATTTCTGTAATTCCCTTAACTGGCTACCCCACATACCAGTCCCAGGGCTGCATGCATGTATAAGGAAATCTGGAATATCAACACTGACAGTTCCCAGTCAGTTTCCTCCATTAGCAAATAAAGTACTGTGAGATATCTTCTGAGGATGGTTCATTCTTTTGTTTTTGATTGCAGTTTGCAAACCACAGGCTTCTCTTAGCAGGTAAGTGTTCACTGGAAACAAGCAATAGTGAAGAGATCAGAGTATCTCAATTCCCTTTCTTCAGTGATGATTAAATGTCTAAAAAGAAATGAAACAAAAATCTCAGTCTGGAGTAACAGCAAAATGTTTATTGATTTAGTTTTGCTATAAAACTCTAAACCATTTTTTTAACTGCTACGTGCATTGGTGAAAACAATTTATAGGCAAACAAAAAGACTTAATGGTATAAAGGTCTATTAAAGTGATGTAAAGAAAGAGAATGGGGAGTGATTTAGAGTAAAGGATCCAACCCTGAGACCATAAAATACGTACTTAACTGTTCAGTCTTTTCCTGATAACACATTGTTCCTTGAACACATTCGACAGATTTTTTAAAATTACAGAAGCTACATATAGGATATTGAAATATGTTTCTTTTATTCCTCCTCTGGCTAAAACCAAGACTAAAATGTTTCTTATAGGAACCAAACTCTTGATACATTTTTTCCCTCCTACAAACATTTATAAAAGATCAGAAAGGAATTAATGGAGTATTTATTTACTATAAAGAGTATTTTTATGTTTGCATAAATCCTTTCTATTTCTTCCTCTCCCTCTGAAGATAAATGAAGGTGATGATGAAGAATCTGAAAATTCTGTTAAAGAATTTCGTCCTGGTAAACTCAGACTCAGTTTTGAGGAGATGGAAAGACAGAGGAGAGAAGAGGAAAAGAGGAAAGCAGAAGAAGATGCAAGACGACGCATAGAAGAGGAGAAAAGAGCATTTGCTGAAGCAAGGAGGAACATGGTATGGCATTTTTATTTAGTATATAGTTTAATTTTTATTTAGTATATAGTTTAATTTTTACCTAAGCATACGAAGAACTAGAAAGCAGCTCTGGGAAAAAGCTTTAAATACAGTTAGGAATGCATGCTTCAACTCCTTCATTAATGAGTGCACCTCACTACTTATTAGAAGGTAGAGGGGTAAACTAATCAAGTTCATTTACCAGAAATCATCACAGAACAATCCCTCCTCATACCAAGCCTAGAAAGGGTTTGAAATAATTTAGTCAAAACCAGATACTGTGTCCAATGGATATTCTCATGCAAGATGCAACAAACTTGGAAAGCAAAATGTTTTCACAAGGAGTTTGTTGTTTGGTTGGGTTTTTTGGGGGTTTTTTTTGAGGAAGGGAAGAGCAATTCCTTTTACTTCTCCAAGTTAATCTCCCTACCTTTACAGGGTGCCCACCAATCAGCTCTTACTAGCTAAAGCTTAATTAATGGCACATGAGAACACTGCATACCACAAGTACAAATTTTATAGTCATCTATGGCCCCTTAAGAAGGAAAATTGAAGAAAGCTGAACTCAGATAATTTATAGTTCTATTGTATTTCACTGCTTGTTCACAGAAACAGAAAAAGTAACTTGTGGCATTTACCATTGAAAAATTCATAATATGTAACTTCCTTAGACAAACACAGATCTCTGATATGCAATGACTTCTAAAATTTGATTAAGATTGTATTGAAAACAAATTTCCAGGGGCCCAGGATTGACGTACTGACACTACCTGAAAGCAGAAAAAGATGCCTCCTGCATTCCCCTCTGAGGTTTTCTTGGGAAAGACCAACTGCATGCCTAATAAAATTTTCTTCATCATTCAAAGCAATGCTTTTGCGACACATTAAAGCTTTGTATGACTAGTAATGTTGCTAGCAGTGCTCCCTCTGCCTGATAACTGGGCCAAAGATAAGACCTCTGTGCTGAAGACTACCCAGAGAAACGACAATGTAAATTCATATTTGATATTGTACTGGTAAGCAATTATGGAAAATAGTGTCTGTCCATAGCTCCAAAGAGAGAAAAGAGAAACTAAAGCCATTAGAAAAAAACCAAACCTGAATGAGTGCTACTGGACTTCTGCCATTACAATTTTTATGAGAAGCCAGCAGACAACTGAAGCAAGGCAAAGAAAGTACATGCTGTCTTCTGTTTTTCCTGCTTGCTCAAGAATAATTTTTTTTTCTGCAAAAAGCTAGGCTCAAGTGTCTGGGCAAGAAAAATCTCACCGATTCAACAGGGTTTAATCCATTAGATGCAGCACAGAGTCTATGATTAGACTGTAACAGCAGACAGTGAAGACATTCAGTAATTTAAAAAATGAACTGAAAGTGTATCTTCAGTGTATACACATTTGAAAGTTTTCTGTTAATTAAAATCCTGAATATGAACACATTTTCTATTACTTGTAATAGAAAATACAAGCCTGTGCTTTCCCTGTTTTCCACAGCTACACAATGTAGATATGCTTTCAAACATTTTAAGAACATTAGCAATCTCTTTCAGAAGTACTAAAAACCTCATACTCAATTTTTATTTAAGCATTTAAATTCAGTAGAACGTTTTGTATATTTCTTAATTTTAATTTAGTTTTGAAAGTATACACACAAAGAAGTAGTAATATTGTTGCTGGAAAACACAAACGCCACCTCCTTTTTGAAGGAGCTCCCTATTTCACATTTACTTGTGCTATGTTTATACTTCCGTGCTTCCCACCATCCCTGTGCTCACTTTCAGACTGAAGCATTCATCTTTCATCCCTGTCAGTCTCTTTCTTTATGCAGAGACTGCAAAAAGAACCTGTCTTAGCAGAAATAAAAAAAAAAAAAATCATTCTACTTCGTATCAGTCACTGTTTGCCCACTGAAAATTGGTTGACTGTGCTGCAAACTATGGTTATTGCAGGACTGTTTCTTACTGCCATCTGTTCCCACATTGCAGAAAAAAAAGTATGGTCTCACTTCACAAAATATAGTGACAATATTTACTGCACTATCCACAAGGGTTTGTGCATCATACAATTCAGCTGAATTTTTTTCTTGTTTTTTAACCAGGAATAAGTTGGCTTACTGTCTTTTCATAAGTTAGATTAAAAAAATAAGGAGCAGACAGCTGCTGGTGTTTGCTGCCATGCACAGCTTTTTAAAGTTTATACATACATGCACTGCTAAATTCTGAATTAATGCTTCCCCTATTCACTTAGCTCCATTATCTTCTTGAAGTGATGAGCATATGAACTAATGCATCACAAGCAAGAGACTTTCACATTTCTTTGCCAATTTAGCTGTGGTTAGCCTCCGAAAACTATGTGGCTATGCATTGTTCTCATTAAAGGAAATAGTTTACAGCTTTGTTTTTTGAGTCCACTTCTCCATAACACAATTTCAACAGATATGCTCACATTATGCAAAACGAATGAAGAATGGAAGGAATGGTGGGGCTGACGTCCAACTGTAAGCTTACTCAGAGGGAAAATCTGAAGGAAATCTATAGTGAACAGCAGTATTTGAGTGGGACGGGGCCAAAAAACTGTTGAAAGAACTGTGACAAATAAAAAGGATATGGGCAAAGTAGGCGAAGACAGTGGTATGAACTACAATGGCACAAACAGCAGCAGCAGGTCTAAGTTACAAGGGCAGTAAGTAGCAATAGAGAGAAAAGGGAGTACCAAAGAAACTTTCAAGAATATATTTATTTTCTATTTCTTTAATAAAGCTAGTCAAAGTAGTTTCTCAAATGAAAACTTTGCTCCTTTAATTCTTTCTAGCATTTGACTGATTACTACTGTTGAGAATGCCTACAATTTAAGGCACATTGGGCTCTTCAGTGTTTGCCACAAGGCTCGTCAAATATACCCTAATTAAACAGTGCCTAAAGCCACATCACTGCACAGTTCTAGATCAGTATCTGACCTCATCTCACATATCTATCTACAGAATGCTCCTGTTGAGACAGTCTCTGCTGATAAATTTACATAGTTACACACAAAAAAATTACATTTTATAGGTTCTATCAAGAAGTTATTTTAAAATCTTCCTGCGTAACCGGGACTGTCGTGCTACCTGGCCATTTTTGTAGCGTACAGCTTCATATTTTAGTAATGCTTTCCTACAACAAATTCAGTCGGATAGAATGTGTGTTCTTACACTTCCTGCTTTTGGAAGTAATGTAAATTGCCTTTACTAGGCCCTACCATCTTCTTATGGATTAGCCTACAAAATAAGCAAACTGCTCATGAATGACCATCAAAGCCCAACCCTACTCTGAAGACTGAGAAAAGGACAGGGAAAGGAGGAAAAACCCTTGCTGTCAAGTTGTACAAAGAAATGAACTGGCAACATAGCTCAGTATTTGTGGGCAAAAGATTTTCTTGTAGAAAATTCTGTTCAGTTATCCTTACTGGGAATACTAGTATTGCTTAGGAACAGAAATATAATTCAGTTTGCTTAGAAAAAGATTACAGATCTATGTACTTTAGTGTTCAGAGCAATGACAGTTAAATACAAGCACTTTGTCTAATGACAGTCTGTGAAGCAAACAGGAATGAATTGTTTCAGGTCCAAGAGCTGCATTTAGAGGACATCCTCTCCATCATCTTGCAAATAAGACCATGTGCTAATAAACACTTTCATCTTCATTATAAAAGTTTAGCATTGCAGTAATAAAGAACTAAAGTCAAATACCAAACCCCCAAACACACTCCCTCCCAAAACAGTAGAGGAATACCCACATTATCATACTGCATCTTATTGTACTACGGCTGATGTGGCAAAATATTTGGTTATCTTTATGTACTAGAAGTGTCTGTGCAACGCTGTGATTTCATCACAACTATCTTCAGGATGTATCACTAATGCTCTGAATTTCCAGCAGGTGCTGGATGATGAATCACCAGAAATGTTTAAAACAGTTTCTCAAGAATCTCTTATACCTGGCAAACTGGAGATTAATTTTGAAGAGCTGCTGAGACAAAAAATGGAAGAAGAAAAGAGACGCACAGAACAAGAGCGTAGGCAAAAGTTGGAAATGGAAAAGCAAGAATTTCAACAGTTGAGACAAGAAATGGGAGAGGTTTGTATATCAAAGGATATGTTAAGCATGCTCTGAATAAAAATATAGTAACTATTTCAGTTAATTACTAAAATCTGTAACATGCCACCCGTAAAGTAAAAACACAATTTCAAATTTGTAATTTTATTTTATAGTAACTTCTGAAAATTCTACAATATTACTAAAATGATTATGTAGTATTTACAGTATTAGGAGAACAGAAACATCTAGTTCCCAAATACACAAAAATGAAAGTAGAAAAGATCAAAATTCTTGCATTTCCCCAAGGGAATGCTGTGTTAACTAATTAGAAAAGAACCACAGTGGCCTCAACTTACTTCTAATCAGCGTGTCAGGGGTTTGAGGACTGTTACAGTTGATTTTAAAAATCACACACAAAATTTGCTTTGCATACCAAACATCTAAAACATCATGTTCATGAACTTTACACTTCAATTTGATTTGGTTGTGGGTGGCAATTCTTTATTATTCCCTTCTGAATGTCAGAGGACTATGCTTTTTGGGTTTTTTTTTTGTTAAGCAAAGCTAGAGTGAGTAATAAAGGCTCTAGATTGCGAACTTTTCAAGTAAATTTTGTGTTGTATCCTGGGGAAGGAAGAGGCAGGGACATCCAACTAAAATGCATACACATCTTTACTGTCAGTCAGAGGTCATAAAAGGAGGGAGTGAAATATCAACAATTACAGCTTCAGACATGGCTCAACCACAGGATCCAGAACTGCTATTTCTTTTCCAGCCACAACATCCTGAAATCTCACTTGCTTTTTACTGAATTAAAAAAAATAAAAAATAATTTTCTGTTTAGTAAATTAGTTGTATTTTAGAAAATTATTTCGTATCATATTGTAAGTAAGTCAGAAAGGTAAATTATGGATATAGGATAACTAAGTTTTTTGTATTGCTAAGTGTCTGGTTTTCTGAGTCTGTGAAGAGTGATTTGTTGACAGCAATCCTTTAACAAGGGGTACATTCAAGCAAGATATTTTAAAATCTGTCTCTATCTTATATCTGATACAAACACAGTAGTCCCGAGAATAGTGAGGTGGAAAAGGTCTCTGTGTTGATTTCAAATAACCAAGAGAACTGTTCAAGTGTATTAAGTTACACCTATCTGCGGGGAGAATAGGTAGTAAAAGTAATGAGGGCATTTCCCATCTTATGCATTTTGTAATTTCTGAACAGCTGGAAGAAGAGTCTGAAACTTTTGAGCTAAGCAAAGAATATGAAGAATTAATAAAGCTAAAAAGAAGTGGTTCTATTCAGGCAAAGAACTTAAAAAGCAAGTTTGAAAAAATAGGACAATTGTCTCAAGAAGAAATACAAAAGAAGATTGAAGAAGAGCGAGCTAAGAGAAGAGCAATGGATGAAGAAATAAGGGAAAGGGAAGCTGAAAAATTTCAAGAGGTAAGTTGCATTCTATGTATGTTAGTGATACGCTTAACTAGCACACTAATGAACCAGGAGTGGACAATGCTGCAGCTTTCACCAGTTTGCTCTATTTCCAAAATAATTTTCTCCCTTCTTTTCTGTGCTCTCCTTTGGATGCATGAGGGGATCTCATCTCAGCATCCCTAAAAGAAACAGCACCAGTTTATTATCAGTCATCTGGTCAAGCAGAGATCTGCTTTTCTGCTCATAAGTCCTCAATTCAGCATCTTGACAATCTGAAACCTGCCAGCCTGAGGGTTTGAAACATTCATATTTCAGAATTAATCTATTAATCATCACATGAATCGCTTCTCCTTCCAAACTCTAACTCATTCTCCACTGTACAAATTAAAAAAAAAAAAAAAAAAAAAAGCATTCAAACATCAAAACCTAACACCACCATTTGAAGATCAAGTCTTTATCATCTTTACTCATTTCTCAGCATAGAGCAGAAAAGGATGCCTACTCATCTCTGCTTCAGACTGGAACCTCACATTTTTCCAGAGGGGAAAAACAAGAAACGAACCTATCAGTCTAACTGATAAATCAGCACTATGCTGTCATGCAAAACACCAATGTGAGCTTTCAAACATAAATCATGTAGCAGTGCAGGAAACTTGTCTAGTAAGCCTGATTTGAGCCACATTCTGAGCTTCCTATCCAGAGCAGTCAGGCACTTCAGTATCGGCTCAAAGCCCATCTTTCATTTTTGAGCTTTTAATTTAATGATTTGAGACTGTAATCATGTTTCTATAAGGTCAACCTGTGTTAGGTTGTTGAATCTGCCATAACATCATGACATGAAAGTCAAGTCACTAAGGATTTACCATTGCCACAACACAGTATTCAACTTCTATATGAAAATAAAACTAGTATTTTTCTACCTAATGATTTTGAAATTATTTTTGCAAGTATTTTATCCTATGCGTGGGACAAACTATTACAAGACTTGATCTTAAACCCAACATGAAACAAACTTCTGACAAAAACAGGACTCTGTGGCTTTGCTCAGTTGAGAACTACAGCTCTACAAAACTATGTTTATTATCATATGCAATTAAAAGGTAATAAATGACTTATGTCCTATTTTGTAAAATTTTTTTTGTCCCAAGGATGATGAGGTAGATGTGAGACCAGCCAAGAAATCTGAGGCTCCGTTTACTCATAAAGTAAACATGAAGGCTCGTTTTGAGCAAATGGCAAGAGCCAGGGAAGAGGAGGAGCAGAGGAGAATCGAAGAACAGAAATTACTACGCATGCAGTTTGAACAGAAAGAAATTGATGCGGCATTACAGAAGGTACAAATTATAAAATACTTTTTCTTCAGTCCCAAGTGTAATTTAACTTGGCATCTGATTACCACTGATGGCAACACTGCCAGAGGTATAAAAGGAACATTATACTTGTTTTAATAGCTGCAGTGAATTGCTGCAATAATGTAAATCTGCTTTTGGTGTTTTCATATGTTCTTTAGAAGAGTACGAGAGAGATACTGCAATGAAAGTTCATTGTATCCTTTGAGTAGTCTAGAAATGAAATCTACATTCATGCCTGTATTTTACCCCAAGATTCCAGCCTCATCAAAATCCCTTTTACTGCCTGTTCCATATCCAGATTTAATGCATTATTCTTTCTAGTAATAGCTGTGGCATTTCCCCCTTCTCAGAAACATGGTAACTTTTCTGTAACCAAATACCTATCAATAGCAGTCATACACTATTGCCACTTCTAAGTGTTCTAAGTCAACTTATTTTTAACAGAAAAGGGAAGAGGAAGAAGAAGAAGAGGGAAGCATTATTAATGGTTCTACTTGCGAAGATGAGGAGGATCAAGCTCGATCTGGAGCTCCCTGGTTCAAGAAGTCACTGAAAAACACATCAGTTGTTGATGGCGAGCCAGTGAGATTTACAGTTAAAATTACTGGAGAACCAAAACCTGAAGTTACATGGTGGTTTGAAGGGGAAATGTTGCAGGACTCTGAGGACTATCAATATATTGAAAGAGGAGAAACCTATTGCCTCTACTTGCCAGAAACCTTCCCAGAAGATGAAGGGGAATATATGTGTAAAGCAGTCAATAGCAGAGGCACATCTGCTAGCACCTGTATTCTCACTATTGAAAGTAAGAGTTAGCATTTTAATTTGCTTGATTCTCAACTATTCTTCTTGCATCTTTCCTATTATGAAAATCTAATTTTCTGTTTCTCTTAACCCTTTTATTTTCTAGCTGATGACTACTAATGCTCTACTTTAGCTGGAATCTTTCTTCCCCTCAAAACTTTATTACATCATCTCTTTCTCTGATGGGGCCAACTAAAGAAAGCAAGGATATGCATTGATTTGTCATTCCTGCATCAGATAAGAATAACCTTCAAGTTGGGACAGTGTCCAGGTTCCTTGCTCAATAGAAAAATTAGTATTAAAGGCTAAAAAGAAGGAATTAATGTATGAAAGATCAACTAAAGGAAAAAGCTGAAACATAATAGTGCTCCCACCTTTGAAGACCAACTGTTGTGTAATAGTATAAAGCTAAATACACAATCTGGAAACTTACGCAGTAGTGTAAATCTGTTGGTATATTTTGCATGAACACCAAATATTTAAGCTGTTTTACTTCAACCCAGAGGCACTGAACTGGCAAAAGGAAATACTTATTGATGATTTTCGAAAGTGTACTATTTTTAAAGAATAAAAGATTACATAACTGCTCAATTTTGCGGCTTTGTTTTGAAGAGCATTAGTTCTTTTGTTTTAAAATGAGCTTGCATTTAAACTGTTGCTCTAAGCAACCTATAGAGTTGATAATCCAAAAGTAAAAACAGTCTCACAGTAAGGCTTGTAGTAGTCTTTATAGTACCAACATTTGCTTGTAAAAGTTCTAGGTTTTTTTAATTGCTTCAATGATACAGGAACAGTTGGTAACAAAATATGAGCCTATTATAGCTAAGTAGGTAGGAAGCAAGCTTTAAGAAAAATATTTTCAGGAAGTGCCTATCTTCTCAATCTTTGTTCTCTCTTAATGCAATAAATTTATTGCTACATCTCTGAACATTGCTTTCTTAAGGCTACTGTACTATTTTTCTCTATATCAACACCAATGTTACTGTGCTAACACTATCTGAATTGTTCAGCTTCAGCTTCTGTAGGAGTAATTGTAACTACTGTTCGTGAATTTTAAATTAAAGAACTTGTGTGTAAGCCGTAACATACAGAGAAGGTAAGCTGCAACACCTTACATTTATACAGTAATTTCAAAAAGGAAGTTTCCTGTAGTTGAAAACTGCTGACTGCTCTTTGTACAGCTGCCTACTGGAAGTCACTCTTGGCTCAATAAAATGGTGACAAATTCAGGAATATCTTGAAAAAATGGTAATAAGCTGCATGATGTTTTGAATTAATATTTATCCTAACAGCCACGTATTTTATTTCATTTCACGTGGGTGATGTTCATTCACGGAAGTACTAGTTGTTGAAGTATCTTTCCTCTGAAGCTGTTATTTCAAACTAACAAAGGCAGGGATAGGAGCATAAAAAAGACAAACATTGCTATTATTATCCATCAGTTTAACATTTATTGAGAAAAACCATACAAAAACCATTATACAGTTAATGTGTACCCATATTACATACAATGTCAATGCAAGCTCAAAACCACATTTTTGTAAAGCATTCAATTTACCTCAAGTCCAAGCTGCATCTCCCTAAGACACTGTTCCCATCACAGTTGCCTTTTAAAGCCAATCTTCTTTTTACACACGGGTAGTTTCTGCAGAGAACACTTTTCTCAGGACGAAAAGGCATTTCACATGCACGCAAGAGAAATAATTTGTGCACACATAAGAGTTTTATAAGCTATTACTAGAGAAGAGGGAATCCTGTCAACTGTATGCTTTCTGAAAAGCCCAGTCCTCCCTTCCTCCCCCCACTTCCAGGAAAAAAAGCAAAATAAAAAGCTTTTAGCATGCAATGGAAAACTTAAAAATTACTTTGGAAGAGAATAGGGAAGAAACAGTTTCTAGCACCCAATAAAATACCACTAGTAAAAGGATGAAATATTTCAAGATAGGCTGTGCAAGTGAATAATGATCCTATCTGCCTGGACAACTTAAATAGATGCTTTATGATCATGCTAGACTGAAGATTATCCACCTGATATTTTATTTCATGTCCTATTAAAGTATAGGCTGCAGAAAGCAAAAAAAAAAAAAAAAAAAAAAAAAAAAAAAAAGAAAAGCTTTTCCTACTTTGAACATTGTTTCCTTTTTAAACTTTTCATACTCTTCATATTCTACTTAATTTGCGAGAGACTAAGGTGGGGGAGGGGGAAACAAACAGGAAACATTTAGAGACACCTTTTGGACAAGTTCATTACATTTCTAATGAAATTCAGTAAACTTTTTGGATCAGGATAACTCAAATAACCTATTTTCTGTTCTCCTAAGAACTACGAGTTTGAAGACAGAGTTGAGTAATAAACACTATGCTTAGCACAAAACAGCATGCCTGTAAGCCCCGCAGTGAGAAAGCTGGAAGTCAGTACACCTCAAATGATACACACCAGAACATCTCATCTTCCACACACTAGCAACATCCCAAAAAATTGGCTCTTTCTTCTCTATCTCCTCCCACTGGCTAAATTTACAACTGAAAGACTGTTAAGATATTTTAGCAACAACAGTTGAAGAAAAAAGTATCATGTAAAAGGAAGTGAACAAATGACTCACCCCAACACTAAATTCACAGTATCAAAATCCAAATGGTACACACCTAACCTTTTCTCACGTCAAAAATGAAATTATATATTAAAACTACAGATGAAATATTAAGTGGCTTGAGAAACTGAAGCACAACTATTAATTTAGTTCAAAAACTCAATATATCTAAGCATGGCTGTTTAGAAGAATATAAATTAAAATAGATGGTTTATATTATTAAATCACAGTTTAAAAAACTTAACAATTATGGAACATTTATGCTCAAACAAATAATACTTCAAAGAATGAAGAGTGATCAAAACAAAAATTATACCCTACACCATCATGTATGGGATACATTTCAAATCTGTTACGTTTTTGCCAATTTTACCTTCTACATGGAGCCCTTCTATGGTCCATGCTCATCGGCTCACCAATGGCATACACTCAAAGGATTCCTCTTTACTGGTAGTAACTATCTCAGGACCTGATTCTATGAGCTATGATTTGGTGCTTGCAGCATCTTCAGCACTGTGTGTGAAAATGAAGGCAGTATTTTTGAATATTTTTCTTTGATGTACAAATAAGCAGGACTTTTGAAAGAGGAGCAGCACATTTTAGAAACAGAATAATCAACAAAAAACCAAATAGATGCTGCTTTACTTTAAGCTAAAGAAAAAAATAAACAACCAACAAAAACTAGAAACAAAAACCTGTACCAGACCATCTATAAGACATACAAACATTTTAAACTGTCAAAATATACAGCAATTCAGTTAAAGTATCAAGAAACAGGATGCACTGACTACTATATAGGTAAAATATTATTTGCTGCACTGTTAACAATTAATCGGTGCACATGCTTTTTCAGTTAAAACATACTAATCTCTGAAACTCCAGAATCTGTTTTCCTACCATGGCAAGTGATGAGTAAGCAAACTAAGTTATCTAAAAATTCCACTAACACACTAGAACTGTAAGACAAGTCATCAAGTTCAGTGATAACAACAAGTCATATTCTTTATATTTAGGTCTTAACGGGTTTAAGTTGGAATAGTGCCCTATTGTAGAAAACATTTGTGAAGGCTGTTGACGTTTCTAAACAAAGTAATTCCTAGATATTTTAAAGGTTTTGATTCTTTAATTGCAACAATTAGCTATTTGAGGAAAAATAACAAAAATTACTTATTCTGATCAAGTTTAATTACTGCAATTACTCATATTTTCTTAAAAAAATAAAAAATTACATATTTACCTAGAAATATGAACAGTTGTTTAAAAACTTAAAAGACTTTCCACTGAAATGGAACCGTGAGTAACAATGCATTGGGGAAGCAGCAGATTGCTTTTCAATACACAACCACAAAATCTCACAGGGACAACATTAATGTACTGAAATATATTAATTTATATACTTCCTTAGGTTGTGCTTACCTGTTGCTTTTTTGCAGCAGAACCTAAGGTGGAAGGTCTGGGAAGGCACTGTGAAGTATAAATAATTGCACTGTTTGCAATTAATAAAAATTTTATACCTTAAATGAATCAAAATCAACAGCCTCCATTTTGTGAATGATAAAGAATCCAGCGAATTTAATTTTGCTCAGTTTAGTACATAATAAATGCACCATTCTATAAACTTATCTAGAAAATACCATGCAAAATATCTGAACTTCATACCCTACACTAAAGATAGCAAATACTGTCCTAACCTTTTTTAAGCTACTGTAATAATTCCTCATTTTAAAAAGGGATAAAAATAATTCCTTCTATTTCTACAGCACATTGCATACATTGCTAATTACCTGAATAAACTACTTCAATTTTCAAGCCTTAACTTTTAATTCTCTGTGCAGCCACCCTAAAAAAATTTATTCTCAAAACAACAATATGGTGTTCCAAAAGATAAAGCAAGTAACAGTTATGGAATTATTTAAAACACAGCTACATCACTACATCTGATCAAACTATCTGAAGACAAAGACAACTTCTGTCTAACAAGAGTTTCCAAAGACTTCAATGTTACGATATGCATACTTTAAAACACTGAATGATACAGCTGTCTCAGGAGTACTAATGAAAAAAACTATTACTCAGATAAACAGAAACACGATTTTCTTTAGCTATGCTAAACGTTTCAGGAATACTTACCCACAAAGCTCATATTATGTGTATGTGTGTATATAGATATATATATATATATATATATGCAAACCTATGTTTGTGAATTAAGAAGCAATTACGATTTCCTAAGATATCAGCACTGTATTCCAACATAATAGTCACACAAGTATGGCATTTTCATTATGTGGAACATTGACAAAAAGATACTGTTGCAGTTCATCAATTTGTCATTCTGATGTACTTACAGTGCAATGCTCCTTGAAGGAACAATCAAGGATGATACACAGCACAGTCCTCCTCACCCCTATAGAGCTAGTTCTATACTGGCTGGATCAAACCTGCACTTCAACAGACAATGGCAAGACAGACTGTATTGCATGTAGTCTAATATATGCAACGAGCCAATAAATATGCAAAGAGCAAACACAGGATTTCAAGAGAATCAGATTTTTAGTATGAGCATTAGAGCAATAAGAAGTTTCAGCTATATATAAAAAATAATAAATTGTTTCAAATACTTGAGTATTTACAAAACCAGAAATTATCTGCTCTGCAGGAAGTTCTCAACCACTCAAACAAAACAGTGTTTTAAGAACAGATGCAATTTTTGTAACTACTATGCATATCACATTGACTTTTCTGTACTGAATTTTGAAGTGGACTACTTTAAACTGAAGGCTTAAGCACATTACACTTAAAAGAAATTTTATAACTAGTCTGAAAAATCCATAAAATAGTTATGCAGGAACAGTTTTGAAGTATTCAATTAAGAACAAAAGTTATCTGTTATAGCAGCTGCACAGGTCTGAAACAGTGGTCATGTATAAAAGGAAATGTCACTGTTAACGCAATGGAAGTATGCCAAAAGATCACCTTCTTAAACACATGCAGTTTTAATCAAATAGAAAAAAAAAAAATAAGGTATTAAGATTACTGGTTCTAGGCAGCAAAATACAATGAAAGAAAGAGATCCTCCATCTACAACTATTCTGCAAGAGGGGAAAAACATGCTAACAACAAGTTTTTAAACTCAGCAATATTGCATGGGGAAAAAAAAATTCTCAATTGTGTACAGGTACCTTGATTCAGCGTTGCAAATCAATCCTATAATTCTTTGTATACCCACATATCCAACTTACCGACACAGGAGGTTTCATATTATTTATTGTAAAGCACAAAACAGGCATTTTAAAAGTGATAAAGTATACATTGAAAAAGTACATTTATATCACAAAGCATTAACCACATAATTGCAAATACATTTGCTGGAATGTGTACATCTACACTAATACTAAAAACAAACCATTTTTCATTTCTACACAGAAATATTACCTCCTATCAGTAGTGATAGATATTTTGTACATTTTCAAAAACACTATTTTTTTAACCAAACAAAATTAAGATCTTCATCAAGGCGTCTGCATCCATACATTTAACAAAGGTTTTTTCCCCCACACAATGAAGAAAATACTGTATTGTCCACTTCTTATTATTGGCCCTGTGCAGAAGAGATACATAAGAGATACACAAAAAGTTAAAGAAAATCCTTTAAATCGAGCTAACTCAGGAGTGAAGCCTTTAAGAAAGAAAAACTGGTTAATGTAAATGGTGGTGGCTTCTTGCATGGTTTTCAAAACCCTGGGAGGAGAAAGTTTTTCTTTAAAAAAAAAAAAAGTAAATCACCAAACACATGGACAGATACAGAACTCAAGTTAACAGGTAAACAAAGTCATCTATTAGTTATTCTGATAGCTATTTAGCTAGGAAAAAAGATGCATACTCCAAAGGTAACAAAGCAGGAGACATGCAAAATAAATTATCTATAACCACTGAAACGCAAGCCAGCCAAAGAACACTTAAACGTTATACCTGTGGTGCTGGAGGATGTTGTGGCATTCCCTGGGGACTTGTCTGGGCATAATATGCTGCCTGTTGCCTGTAGTACTCAGCCCACGCTGCACTGTAATCTGGCTGACCACCCGGCGGGGCCCCAGCAGGGGCAGGAACTGCTTGACCTACAAGTAATTAAAATTATATAGCTTTGTTGCTGCAATAGAAATTAGGAAATTTCAAAACATCATTGCCTAACAAATGTCACCTAGCTTCTTGCAATATTCCTCCAAGGCTTTTGAATAATCTTGTGGCTGCTTTTATTTACCTAACCACTCATCCCATTATTTTAATGTAATGATTCCCAGGTAAGGCAAAATTGAGGAACCGTAAGGACAGATTTTTCCACCCACTGAATCACATTCCAGAGGCAAAAGAAGTCTTCAAAGCCTGCTGACCTAAAGTGACCTGAACAACCAGTAGCATTTAAATTAAAATACAGGTCAATAGGCGAGATTACTGTTTGTAATCCACCTAGACTGACTTCATGTTACTGTACAGACTGTAATGAATTCAGCAGATGCAAATTCATTCACTCTCCCAGTTTCTGGCCTCCTTAATGCAACTGCTAGGTTATTGCAGATTGCATTTTTCAAAAAGAGCATTAATTTTTGTAAACATTTACTCCACCACAGAATATAGTCCTGGAATTTCTCCTTCCAACCTTTACCTGAGTTCTGATTTTCTAGATGTAACAGTGTGTGTACACACACACACACACACACACATTGTCCCAGATAAACAGCTGAGATATACCAGTCCTTCCAACAAAATCAACTCGCAGCTTAAAAACTCTTAAAGGCAAGAGACTAACATGCAAGGACTCTTTAGTGTGTGTGTACATACATACATA